TGAAATTACATGCAAAGTAACCCCTTGTTCACAATCTTGCTTTAATCTTTAACTAATAAATTGACCAACCACAGTCGATTATTTTAAAGATAATCATCGTAAGATTTCTTATGGCTTAAGAATTAAAGTAAGGTTGTGGACAAGGGGTAAAAGAACTACGGAATAGAGAGTGCGTCATAGAAGCAACCAATTAGCAAAGAGCGACATAGCACTGATTGGGTGCTTCTATGACGCACTCTCTATTCCGCAGCTCTTTTACTCTGCATGTAATTTTACCCAAAGGGTCGTATATTATTTCTTCTCCTCAGAGATGATTTCACCCCCATTGAAACTTAATTTGTCGTCTTGTCAACGACAAACGCGTATGCAGAAGAAGATATCTCTGAAGAGATAGTATATCATAAATAATACGACATAATAAGTTATAAAGTATAATAATCACATAGTATATATAGAGTATATAGAGAGTATATATAAAACATATATAGAGCATAAAAAAGATATATAACATATACAGAGCATATAAAAATGACATGTTGAAATATATCAGTTTTATGTATTATCAAGAACTAATCCGACGAGAAGCAAGCTTGCCGAGTCGAAATTTCAATTGGCTATTGTTATGTCAGAATAATCTAATTAAAAAAATTAAGTTTTTATGAATGCATATTCCATTCCCATCTTTTAAGCCAAACAAAAAAAATTCAAGCCTTATAGATGCTTGAAATGAGTTAAGAAACAGTTTTTTTATTTTTTACCAGTCCCGTCTTTTTGCACATTTTTCTAAGGATTGAGCTAGTCAATACTCTTAAAGAAATGGAAATGCTTGACTTGTTGAACTATTGCAAAAATCTGAGAGCTAAATTCTTTAGTTGGATCATTCTTGGTCGGATCGAAAATCCGGCGAATTGCAAATTACAATTCTTACTTTACTTCCCATCGGACCCAATGCCATTTACGTTCACATGCATGCAATCTACGTAAAGAGACGCTTTGTGTTTACTATATAAACGTGTAAATTGAACACTCACCATTGCGCGTCGTCTCACGGTGTCCAAGGTCCACCAGCCATCCTGTCACTGCATCTGACACTGCAATGGTCCTCGCATCCCACATCGTCCGTAATTCACTCCCGACCGCGGTAATCTAACGGAGGTTTCACTAAAAATCCCGTCTCTCTTGGGGGATACACTCCAAGTTGCGAATTGCGTATGAAATATCGCGAACTACGTCTTCAAGGAAATGTCGGTCTTTCAGATAAATGACGAGTATATGCGAATTCAGCACCGGTCCGATCGAGTTGTAGTGTACCGCTTTGACATACGCGCGAAGCAAATCGAAGATATAATAATCCGGTAATATCAGTTAATTACACACGACAGTAAGACAAGATAAAGAAATCGTCGTAACGGCACACTCGAGTTATTTCCCAATACGCAATAAAAATAACTAAATGACAATCGAATAAAGAAGTAATAATACTCGAATAATAATTGGATGATAATAATATTTGATCGGTATTGAGGAACTCGATCGCGACGTTTCTCTACTTAACAAGTAAAAAAGCAAATGAAAATACCTGCGGTAATTACCTGTCGCTCAATTGTCGCGAAACTGAAACGCGGTATTAAAAATCGGCACGGAATAATCTCGAAAATAACGCGGCAATTCCCGATGTGCTCGTTTCGACGATTGAGAATGTTATGGCGTGACGCCCGAGCACGTGCTCACGCATGCGTGTTTACATGACCCAGTCGCGCGCTCCCCCAAGCGCCGTTCAGTCAGCGGCACGAGCATGCCGTTACGACGGTATGTTTACCTAGCCTTTGCGGAGCCTAGAGTTTTTGTTAGAGCCATTGTCCAAGTATTGTTATTACCGATTATTCAATCATCATTATTTCGTTACTATCCACTCGCAGATATTATCACACAATTTTCGAACAGTCATTATTATCATTACCATTTAATATTTGAGTATTAATACTTCTTTATTTGATCATTATTTAATTTATTCGATTATTATTTAATTATTGCTATTACGCATAGGAAAGCATCTCGGGCGTACCGTTACGACAATTTTTTTACTTCGTCTTTAATCAGTTATTATTGCCGTTGCCCAATCATTATTATTTAATGTTATTACCGATTATTCGATCATCGTTATACCGTTATTATCCACTCGCGGATATTATCACACGATTGTCGAGCAGATATTATTATTACTACCATTTAATATTCGAATATTATTACTTTTTTATAATAACTATAATAATGTGTATTATATCTATTATATTTATTATAATTATCATAAAAAATAATAATACTCGAATATTATAAATGGTAATGATAATAATATCTGCTCGACAATCGTGATAATATCTGCGAGTGGATAATAACGAAATAATGATGATCGAATAATCGGTAATAACAATACTTGGGCAACGGCTCTAACAAAAACTCTAGGCTCCACAAAGGCTAGGTAAACGTACCGTCATAACGGCCCGCTCGTGCCGCTGAGTGGCGCTTGGAGGAGCGTGCGACCGGGTCATGTAAATACGCGTGCGCCAGCACGTGCTGGAGCGTCATGCCATAACACTCTTAACCGTCGAGACGAGCAGTTCGGGAGCCGCAGCGTTATTTTCCAGATTATTCTGTGCCGATTTTTAATACTGTGTTTCGTGTGAGGCAATAATTAAGACAAATTAAGACGCGTACTCCTCACGCGAGCAAGTTGCGGGCTTTACCGCGACAAATAATTACTGCGTTTCATTTACATTTCTACTTGTTAGATAGAGAAACGTCGCGATCGAGTTCCTCAGGGCCGACCAAATATTATCATCATCTAATTATTATTCGAGTATTATTACTTCTTTATTCGGTTGTCATTTAATTATTTTTATTACGTATTGGGAAATAACTCGAGCGTGCCGTTACGACGATTTCTTTATTTTGTCTTACTATAGTGTGTAATTAACTGATACTACCGGATATTATTATACCTTCGATTCGCTTCGCGCGTGTTTCAAAGCGGTACACTACTACTCGATCGGACCGTTGCTGAATTCGCACATAGTTGTCATTTATCTGAAAGATCGACATTTCCTCGAAGACGCAGTTTACGATATTTCATACGCAATTCGCAACTCGGAGTGTATCCCCCAAGAGAGACGGGATTTTTCGTGAAACCTTCGTTAGATTACCGCGGTCGGGAGTGAATCACAGGCGATGTAGGACGCGAGGACCATTGCAGTGTCAGATGCAGCGACAGGATGGCTGGTAGACCCTGGACACCGTGGGACAACGCGCAGTGGTGAGTGTTCAATTTAGACGCTCATATAGTAAACACAAAGCGTCACTTTACGTAGACTGCATGCACGTAGAAGTAAATCACATTGGGTCAGACGGGAAGTAAAGTAAGAATTGGAATTTGCAATTCGCCGGAGTTACGTAAAAATGATCCAACCAAAGAATTTAGCTCTCAGATTTTCGCAATAGTTCAACGAGTCAAGCATTTCTATTTCCTTACGAATACTGAGTAGCCTAATCCTTAGAAAAATGTGCAAAAAGACGGGACTGGTAAAAAATAAAAAAACTGTTTCTTAACACATTTCAAGCATCTATAAGGCTTTAATTTTTTTTTGTTTGGCTTAAAAGATGGGAATGGAATATGCATTCATAAAAACTTAATTTTTTTAATTGGATTATTCTGACATAACAATAGCCAATTGAAATTTCGACTCGGCAAGCTTGCTTCTTGTCGGATTAGTTCTTGATGATACATAAAACTGATATATTTCAACATGTCATTTTTATATGCTCTGTATATGTTATATATCCTTTTTTGTACTCTATATATATTTTATATATACCCTATGTAAACTCTATATATACTATTTGATTAATATACTTTATAACATATGTTATGAAGTATTTTATATATATATATATATATATATATATATATATATATATATATATAT